GTACATTTGGACTAGTCCATTAATTAACGAAGGTAACAGTGTAGTGAACCTCAGTGCAACCAACCATAACCTTTGTTGTTTTAACGCGTCTAACTTTTGGGACGTCTAACTTTTGGGAGGCCACACTTTTAGGCATAGAATGGTAAAAGAACGGGGTTTACGGGCAGAAATCTTTCCAAGTACTTATTCCTGCTAATCCTGATTCCACTAGCTCTAATCTTGTTGACGCATTTATTGGATGCTTGGATGGTTATTGTTACTAGTGGATCTACACATACAAAAGAGAGATCGCACAACAATGTTTTAATTATGTCTATACATGTACAAAGACGAATGGTTAAAAAGTCTTACTTTGTGATTAAATCGGTCATGTTCCAAGCAGATCTTCAGAATAACAACACATAAATCCATCATGAAATGACAAAGAACAACATGCTTAATCAGTGTTGAAAACTCCCCAAAATTTCAGCCAGACAACTGGTCTGGTAACTGAGTTTGACAATTTGAAACAGCTGAAATTTTAACGCAACTGCATTTTTTAAATCAAAAAGCCCACACAACTTAAGTAACCTATCCACCAAACTCAAATTGTCTACTATGTTTGAGTTTATTATCGATATTAGTTCATTCTGGGAAATGCATTTTCTCAAATTTGAGTAAAAACTCAGACTTAAGTTTGTTTCGAGAAATCGGGGCCTGGTCTGGTAACTCTCAAAAATTACCAGACCGGTTGGAAGGTTGCCAGTCCAGAATTTTCTGGATTATAAATAATATAAAGAAGGTAAATAAGAGGAGGGAGCTGTTTAATGTCAGGTTATTGTCACAAAACCACACATTTTCAAATCTGTTTCAGTCAAGGCTTTTGTCATTATATTCAAAGTCAGATTCATCCAAGATCCAGGAAGAGGGATCATATTACTCCTCTTCTATACTTTCTACACTGGCTGCCCGTGGATTTCAGAATTCAGTTTAAACTTCTCTGCCTTGTCTTCCGATGTCTGTCTGGAACTACCCCTACATATTTATCCAGCCTTCTTTCTCTGTACAAGCCTTCTCGTTTGCTCCGTTCACAAGATAAAAGTCTGCTTCTTGTCTCTAAAACTAGAACAGTGAAGTATGGAAACAGATCCTTTGCCTATGCAGCACCAGTGGCCTGGAACAAACTTCCACAGAATCTCAGGGACTGTACTGACTTTGTCACTTTCAAATCCCAGTTAAAAACACTTTTTAAAAATCCTTTTCAACTATAACTGTGTAATTTGTTACATTCTATCTGCACTTTGAGCATGGACTGCATGGATACCAGCGCATTACAAATGTGTTATGATGATGATGATGAAATCTGAAAAAAACAATCATAGCCTGAATCAGATTCAGAACTTCCCGATGCACTAGACACTTCTTCAGCTTGGTGCACTTCCACTTCACTCAACTGATGCTCTAGAGTATCAGTATTCAGTCAAACTGAATTCCTGCCCCGTTTTAGGCAAAAACTCTGGCCTTCTGTGATGAGATTTGATCCACTTATGTTTAGAGTGTGTTGGGTCAGTCAGCAACTGACTTGAAGTGAAGTGATAGTCATCAGAAGTGTCATTGATGAGCTGCTGAGCTTGTTCCAGTATTGAGACGTAGTCAGTGTCATTTGTGAAAATCCTCTTTCGCTTTCAGCACTGGAAGATGGTAGAGACAAATTCAAATCTGATTTAACAGTCAGACCATCGGGTGTGCAACTATTTAAAACTGACCGCCCGGTCGCAAAACAGACCGTCCCTGACGGTCGAGCAGGCGGGAGTTTGCAACGCTTGCTTAATTCATCAATGTTGACGTGGCATATTCAGTTCAAACTTGCCAACATGGCTTGTCCTTTCGTTACACTACCGTCCTGGATACTGAGCTGTTTGTGTTTAACCTAACATAAGACAAAAGCCCAAGCTACAATTAAATATCCTCTTTGTTGTCTGATTACACCAGCTGGTTCATGGACAATTATGGTCAGGGGTAAGCAGAGAGTCAGTTCGGGTAAAAAGGTATTTTTAGGAGAGATATATGTATTTTGAGAATCACTTCGGATTTTATAAATATATATACAGATTTATAGATACACAATGTATATGTAAGAGATTATCATAGCATTATGGTATTACAATAGAAACGACTTCCGTCCGTCTGTGCGTCCGTCACACTTTTTCCAAAGCATATCTCCTAAACTATTGGTGATAGCTTAACCAAACTTGGTACACTTGTCAACCATGATCCCTGGATGTACTTTTGGGGGTAAGTCCCAGAAATGAATTTCTTTTTTTGCTGTTTCGATGGAAACATGACTTAGGCTGTGACTATGAGGATGCCATCTTGTCCGGAGCAGATCTCCTAAACTATACATGCTAGCTTCATCACAACTGGTACACAGTAGGGGTGACTATTGAGGGAGAAACAACTATTGCGATAGTCTATTGCAAGTTACTATTGTGATAGTGATAGTCTATTGCGACCAACTATTGCAATACTATTGCAATAGTTTTTTTTCTCCTTGAATTGTCTCATTTGAAGTCATTTCCCAAATGAATGTATAGTTTATATGAAATACTATGAAGTTGAAGTAATTTCAGTCTCTTAATAACTGACAAGAAACTTGAAACCCAGATCAAGTTTGTTTGTGAGGTAACAGGGGCGGATAACTGTAACTCAAAGTGAAAGAATCTGGTACTTCCTGTATTTTGCGCTGCGCATTTATCAACGAAAGTCAATTAAACTAAACTATCGATAGTCACACATACTATTGATGCATTGATAGTTTTTCGTTTCTACCATCGATTCATTGCTATCGGAGGCTCAGCAATTGCAATCCATCAGTAGTTCGATGCATCGTTACACACCTAGTACACATATCAAGCATGATCCATAGATGTGTATTTTGGGGTTTAGACACAGATAGGAATTTTATTTTTTGCAGTTTCCATGGAAACATGACTTAGGCTGTGGCTATGAGGATGTCATCTTGTCTGGTGCAGATCTTCCAAACTATACATGCTAGCTTCATCAAACTTGGTACACATATCAAGCATGATCCATAGATGTGCCATTTGATGGTTAGACCGAGATATGAATTATATTTTTTGCTGTTTCCATGGAAACGTGACTTAGGCTGTGACTATGAGGATGTCATCTTGTCCGGAGCAGATCTCCTAAACTATACATGCTAGCTTCATCAATCTTGGTGCATATGTCAAGCATGATCCCCAGATGTGCCTTTTGGGGTTTACACCCAGATATGAATATTATTTGTTGTGGTTTCCATGGAAACGTGACTGTGAGGATGTCATCTTGTTGCATTTCCATGGCAATAAGTTCATCTTAAACTTATTTTGGTGGTAGTGCTCCTTTCTGGAGCAGATCTTAAAAACCTTTCAATACTCTCCTTCCACTTTGCTATATACACTCCAAAACATTTGAAATAATCATAACTAGTAGACATATTCATTAAGAATATTTTGCTGTTGTGGGGGACATTGATGACTTTATCTTCTTGTTACCTTAGGCTTGGATTTATCTAGAAACATCTTTTGAACTATGTAGTCGTAACTTATGCCTTTTTGAATAGTTAATGTCTGTGAGATGAGTTTTTATTACTTTAGTCTGGAGTCGTTCTCTAAGTTTTACTGATCATGATGAAACTAATATTTTCCTAATATCTGAATCCTAATATATCACTTGTAGTGGTAATAATTAATGAATTTTGTATGCATTATTACACCATGATAACTTCCCCAATGTCTGAAAGAGTTTGGTCCCCAACCTTGGAAAAAATTCTTGGATGGACAATGATACAAACTTAAGTTAATGGACAATGGTATAAACTGGTAATATAGTAAATGATAATTAGATATATTATTGTCTCTCTGGTATTGGGGTACAAGCTCTTTCTGATGTCATCGTGGTTAATCCTGTTTTTTAGAGTTGGACTTGTCGACTTGCCCACCGTCCCATGTAGACAGATGATTTACATGAAAAATCCAAATCAAATGAGAGCTAGCTTGTAGTGGTAATCATTAATAATAAATGTTTGTATGATTTATTACTCAATGATAATACTACCTGTTTGATTGAAAAGTATTATACTTTTTGATAATACTACCACCTGCAGTCAGTGGCATGATGGTGGTAGTAGTGGTATGCTGGTTGTAGTGTTAGTGTGTTGTGGTAGTAGGGCTACATCATTGGTAGTAGTGGCATGTTTGAGGTAGTGGTGGTGTGATGGTGGTAGTGGCGGGTAGTGATGGTATGTTGGTGGTAGTGGTGGGTAGTGATGGTATGTTGGTGGTAGTGGTGGTGGGTGGTGATGGTATGTTGGTGGTGTGATAGTGGTGGGTAGTGATGGTATGTTGGTGGTGTGATGGTGGTAGTGATGGTATGTTGGTGGGTAGTGATGGGTAGTGCTGGTATGTTGGTGGTAGTGGTGGGTAGTGATGGTGGTAGTGGTGGGTAGTGATGGTATGTTGGTGGTAGTGATGGTATGTTGGTGGTAGTAGTAGTATGTTGATGGGTAGTTGTGATAGTGGTGGGTATTGGTGGTAGTGATGGTATGTTGGGGTGGTGGCGGGTATTGGTGGTGGTGGTAGTGGTTTGTTTGTGGTAGTGATGGTATGTTTGTGATAGTGGTGGTATGTTGTAGTGGTGGGTAGTGGTAGTGATAGTATGTTAAGGTAGTGGTGGTATGTTGTAGTGGTGGGTAGTGATGGTATGTTTGTGGTAGTGATGGTATGTTGGGGTAGTGGTGGGTAGTGATGGTATGTTGGTACTAGTAGTGGTGGTGTGTTGTGTGTGTGTGTTGTATGCATGCAATAACATCTCCAAAAAGCTTTCTTCACATCATTCGTCATGTACCATCACTTGCTATGTAATGATGTTGGAAGCTACACTAAAGCATCGCCCCTGTCAAAGAAGTTGTTCATCCGTGATCGCCTTCCTTCTCCTCGTTAACCAGACAGTTTATGTTTCAGGTTTTGGCGGTAGCTGTTTCCAGAAAGACGTCCTGAATCTGGTGTACCTCTGTGAGTGCCTCAACCTGCCCGAGGTGGCCGCCTACTGGCAACAGGTGAGTGGAACTGTGATCCACGTCGGGGGTGGAGCCAGGATTTTGGAGAAGGGGGTGCACATATATCATGAAGTCCAAAGGCTAGGCTGGAAATGAAATATTTCCTATCAAGGCAATGCAAGGCCTTTGATATATACTTTTGTCGCAGGATTATATGACCACGGGGCTGGTGTTCAATCTTTTATTTTGCCATTTGGGGTACAGAGCATGCATTTGTAAACCTGTAGTTAGAGAAACTACTGTATCTGACTGCCACTGCCAGCATGGTGTGTCATACATTATCAGTGTATAAAATATAGCCAAGCCTACCGTCCCTCACAGTCTATTTTTGTGAAGGACAGTCTATTAAATAAGACCATCCTTGGTCGGGGAAATATTTGAAAAAATAACCTTAACTTGGTTTGAACTTAGTCTTAGCAATCATGTTCTTTCTCGTTGCAAACCATTTTCATTGATGCGACAGAGCTACTTCCCTTTGGCTGTTTAGTGAACTTAATTTCCATGCTCGCTTCCTATTTGCTGAACAGATTCAGCTAAACTAAACTTAGTGATGCTATGCAATACTTGTCTGTTGACGGTAAACTAAAATGTTACAAAGATTTCTTGACTAGCCGCCAGAGAAACAAAACAAAACAATTTTTTTTATAGTTTTAGTTTTTGGGACTGGCTGTGTTTGTTCAGGACTGGTCACTTTTTTGGACAGCCAGTCCTTGGACAGGCCACATTTCAAAACTATTTTATACACTGTCATTATAAATCAACATGGCAAGTTTCAAAGTAAAACTGTCATTGTGACACTTACACAATTATTAAATAGAAATATTTTGGAAAGCTCATGATTACTAAACCATTTTTAAAAATATTTACTAGAATATACAGGACTACACCTGACTGATAAATACTTGTGGTTAATTAATACCGAGCGATTAAAAGTTGCCAAAAAGTCGCCTGCTTCACTCTCGCCCGCCAACTCGAAATCACAGACAGGTTACGTAACTCTGTCACCAGAGCACTGCAGTGACGTCATATGAGGAAGGATTTTCAGTTAGTTGTATATGAAGTGTGTAGCAAGCTCGTCATTTTGATGATTTCTCGACATCAACAAGACATGCCGAATCGTTGTGTTGTCGTCAATTGCTCCTAGGGGTCGGGCGATGGTGTCACCATGCACAGATTTCCACAGGACCCCGCAGTTTGTGCTAAATGGGTTATGTTTGTGAGTGTGAAGCGAGGGTTGTGGAAGCCTGAAACGATATCTTACTTGTGTTCAGATCGCTTCATGGAAGTTAAAGAATCAAAACTACTTACTAGTTGTAGTAAAATATGTATATGATTGATGACAATAAAGATTTCCATGACACAACTTGTAACATAACAATTTCTTCCTCGGAAGCGAGGTTGTGGTCGAAGTAACAATAATACTGTATTATATTAGTATCATATTGACACCCACCTCACTTTCACGAGAGAAATTGTTATGTTATAAGCTATGTCATGCAAAATCCTATTGGCCATCAATAAAATACATATTTTACTACCAGTAGATTGTAGTTTTGATTTTGTAACTCGGTGAAAACAAACCTAAATAGCATTTATCCTCAGACTGGTGGATGTTTCGCGACAGGGTGCCACCATTTTTTAAAATCGCGAAGTCACGGGCTAAAGTCTGTTAGAATTAATGAGATTATGGTGTGTTTCATCAAGTTAGAAAATCAAAACTACTTTCTACTCGTAGTTAAATATGTATTTGAATCATGACCAAAAGGATTTTGCATGACACAACTTATAACATAACGATTTCTTCCACGGAAGCGAGGTGGGGGTCGAAGTGACAATACTGCGCGATCAATTTCTTGCTACATTCACGTGGTTAACGTCCGCTCACCAGTATGTAGGTACTAGTCAATGTACGTCTTTATATTTGGTCTTATAATCCTAATTAGTTTATTATCATACTTGTATGCATTTTAAAACTAAATAAAAAGTAGACGATCTGCTGATACTTATAGTGAATTTATAACAGGACTGTAATATATAGACATTTTATAGTTTGCCAATGTGAATAATAATTTGCACACATGCCCTAGTGTATGTTGTCTGTCTCATCACACTTCACGGTGAAAACAATGATTCTGTTGAATGCTACGACAAATGAATAAAAACAAAATGCAAATATTAAAATTCAAACAGATTAAAGTTATAGGAACAATGTCAGGCTATGACCTTGTTCGAGGAATGTATCCATCAATATCCACAAAAATGAGTGATATGCCATTCATCTGCAGCTGTTCCAAGTGATGTGTTTTTCAACAGTCTAATATACGAAAAAGTTAAATATCGTTTCAGGTATTTCACATTGGTGTATAGTCTCATTGGTCACCCAAGATAGCACACCTGGCAACTAATTGCATAATGTCCTCCATTCTTTAAAAAAAAGTAATTTAGTTAGCCAATAATGAGCAATCAATGAATGTATTGGCGGTTAATCCTTTGAAAGAAGGACGTTGTTTTTACGCAGACACCGACACGACAGAGTGTATTCAGTATAGATTAGTAAATCTACATACATAAACACTACCTTTTGACAAATCCGCTGTGTAGGATAAAAGTAATTAATCAATCAACGTGTTATCGGTTAATCCTTTGATCGATGTTTATAATGTTGAGTATTTACTCCAGACACAAGAAACGACAAATGGGAACCTTTGTTGGGTAATCTAAGTGGTGTTACCACTAATTATACCTGTTATAGATTCATTAACTGACCATCAAGTGAATGATATCAAATAACGTGTAGGTTTATACTACCTAAACGGGTTACAACAAGGGAGTATTAATTGCTGTATTGCATGTGAAAACTTATGGGCCGACACTGTTTTGAGAATACGAACAGAACTTCATTGTTGCATAAGAAATACATATAAGCATTTGCTGTGTGCTAAAACTGTATGTACCTATTTACCTAAGTAAATTTTCGGATTCTTCTAGCAATGGCAAAGTAGGGTTGTTTAGTTTACGGATTCAAATAAATCAAATGTCAATTTTTAATATCATATGTAATAGACGTCATGTTTTTACATGACATGATTAAATATCGAGGTGAAAAAAACCCACAGAAGTGGGATCAATTTGGATCAATCATTATACCATCCAGGCATTAGAAAACCTGAAAAAGCCCATACTGCTTTGATACTTTATTACAATCAGACAAGAACTACCGGGGATATTTTCAAATAACTGCATCTGATGGCATCCACCCTTCTTAATGTCGCACTGTTTAGGTTGAATTAACCATAACCGTGATGAGCGAGGCTAATCATGTTTTCACTATCACTAGCGTCTGGCTGGAACAAATAAGGCCTAGCGACACCAAGCGATTTTGACAGAATCGTCTATGAAAACAAGTTGTAACTTGGAAACTAGGCAAAGCAGGAGACAAAATTAAATGACAGTAGATTGTGAGAACATTTAGCTTTCATTTTTCACAACAGTTGTCATGATTTCAGGTTTGTACAAACCTGTAAACAAGATAATTTCCCCCTGAAATGTGCATGAATTCTGCATCAGCCCTCATATCTATTCCTCATATGACGTTACAGACGCGCCGCTCTGATTGGTTGAAATTTCGTTCGTGGATGAGAATTGTGCACTGTTGTCAAAAAGGTCGATTTAAGTTAATTAAAGATCGAAATGAGTAGTTTTAATGACGGGGTTTCATTTATAACGATGCCAATTAGTGATTTATATATTTGTACCCCCCTAGAGTATATGTGATCTTTAAATTTCATTTTAGTCAAATCATATCACCTGAATGTATATTCCTCATCTGATAAGGATCATTTTTAACATGTTTCTTTAACTGTATTTAAACATACTGAAAGACATATCCAGCCTCTAACAATGCCACTCAAATAAATCTTTCCTCCTCGTTAAAATTTAGGGGGGGGTTAGGGGGGAAGTCTTGCCCCATATTACAAATACTAGAATACATGAAGAAAATATGTAGAGTTTAGTACATACAAGATCATATATACTATACTTGCCACAGTGTGGCAATGAGTCTAACAATCACTTTTGCAGTCAAGGATCGGTCAAGGGTCACAGGTCATTCTAAGAAAAGTTAAAATATAACCTACATGTATATAATACTAATAATGGTGTATAAACTAAAAACAACCAATCTCACATCCCCCCTTACTATATCATACCACATTCATACGATTATAGGTTTAGACAATGTGTTATGTTATAATTTAGTTTAATTAGGTTTAAACTGGTATTTACCTACCGCATACGTCATGTTTAATGTATACTTCGGAAAGAGTTCCTTCCGTTCCCCCATATTGTTTTGGGAAAGAGTTCCTTCCGTTCCCCCATATTGTTTTGGGAAAGAGTTCCTTCCGTTCCCCCATATTGTTTTGGGAAAGAGTTCCTTCTGTTCCCCCAACCATAAACCTAACTCTAAGCCTAACCCTAACTTAAATTTTGGACTTTTAGTCATTTTGTGAGTTCTCTAGTAATTGTTGTGTTAGGTTTTGTTAATAACTTTAATATATTTATAAATATTATTTGGGATGGGGGAACAGGAGGAACTCTTACCTTGTTTTGTAACATCACCGCACTGTATTGTAATTAAGGGGCCCTTATCATACAACGGTTCGACCCATATGTATGTATTGTAATGAATTTGGGGGCTTTTAGGTATTTTGTGAATTCCCTAGTAATTGTTGTGTTAGGTTTTGTTAATAATGTTAGGATATATTAACTTATACATATTATTTGGGATGGGGGAACAGGAGGAACTTACCTCACTATATACAATACCATATATACACATACAATATATGTACTTACCTGGATAGTAAAGTCCTTATCATCAAAGAAATGTCCCACAAGATAAATCACAGTGATCCTCCAGAAAGATCTATGTGACTGCCAACAAGTTTAAATCTAAACAGACAATAGATGGCAAGCTGACCAGACAAACTGAGACAGAATTACAAAGAAGCTTGTGCAGAGTGTAAGCGCATGGATCAGAACCTGGCCTGACCCAGTAGGGTGGCTTTTGTTAACTGAGTAATTACATAAGTGCAAAGGTACATTTAACATTTTACCTATAAACTATCCTACCACTACATACAAATACTTAAAACTGAAACTTATAAACTATCAAACCAATAGTACTTAAAACATGGCTTGGCCACAATATTGGTAGAATACATGACATGTTTTATAGATAACAAGTTCTTCTTTATTCTTTACATGACGTGTCAGAGCTAATTCTTGCTCCTTCATCGGGTGAATGAGCTTCAATATTCATACAGATTGCTTTGATGATTTGACCTGTTTTATTGGTTTGCAGGTTATCAACATCAATGACTTCCAGAGACGAAGATTTGCAAACAGGGTCATAGAATGTCTGTTCAACACAATCACAGGCAAGAATATTGCCATCCTCGGCTTTGCCTTCAAGAAGGACACGGGAGATACAAGGTGATGTCTTGAATTCAAATTTTCCTATTAATAATCTCACCTGCATGTTGAGTAGCCGAGACTGGATCGGTCTATAGCCATGTGGGTTTTTAGATTTGCAAATATATACTTCTCAAAAGAAGTTAGGACGGACCCTGTCATGGTATATCGAGATAGATTAGCTCCAGTAATATACTGAGGGAAACAAATAAGGGAACACCACTTCATGGTGATTTCCTCCCTCAGCGTTATTCAAGGCTGGTGATAGGTGATGAAAATTGGAAAAGATTAAAGGAACGCTTGAATTTTCCTGTGTTCCTTTATTTATTTCTCTCAGTATATAAATGAAACATAGTCATCTATCTCTTTGTCAGCCATTTTCCTTGCGTTTCTTTAATTTAACAGAAGGATGGACTTGTAGGATGAAGCAGAGCATCATCAGAGACTTCACATGTGTTCATGGAATCCATGTCACATTCTTATCTGTTATGAGGGGACCCGTGGAGATCTGTGTTTGAACTGGTCTTCAGTAACCCATGCTTGTCATAAGAGGCGACTATCGGGATCAGGTGGACAGACTCACTGACTTCTTTGACACAAGTCATCATGTCCCTATTGCGCAGATCGATGCACTTGCTGTTGATCGAAGGATTGTCTGATCCAGACTTATTATTTGCAGACCGCCGCCATATAGCTGGAATATTGTTGAATGTGGTGTTGAGCAACAAATATACAAAAAATCTTCACTGTAACAAGGGGATTTGTTTTTATAACAAAAATACTGACTCCTGTAACCTTAAACGGGTACCCCTAATAAAGAATAGTTCGGAACTCACTGCTTGAGCTGTCTACCTATAGTTGTCTACCCTTGTCAGCATCTCGCCTTATTTGTGTTTTACAGGGAATCAGCAGCAATCTATCTGTGCAAGTATTTAATGGAAGAGGGAGCCAAATTACGGATATACGACCCTCAGGTTAAACACACACAGATTATTAGGTGAGACTCATAGATAGAACCTTGTTGCAGTGATTGTTACAAGGAGATGGAAGTAAGGAACTATGTGATGAACAAGGGAATAGTTCCATGGCTATACAACTTCTTTTTTCACAATGTATGTGAGATTTCAGGTAACACCATTATCATGCAAGTGTTGGTAAGGGACCAATCATAATTTATGGCTAGTGGGGGTGATGATAATTTTTATGGAGAAGCAATGTGAATGACACCCCCCCACTAAAATCTATGTACTAAGTAAGTGACCCCTTGCATATCATGTACAAAGTTGCTTGACCCCCTGTACATGTGTACGAAATTGACTCCCTAGAACAAAATGGGTGATCCCTCTTAAAATCATTAAACTCATCTCCACCCCCTGGCCATAAATTATGAATGATCCCAAACGGTGTTAGCATCTAGGTAGATCCCTTCATATATTGTAACAACAAAGTTGTTCATCCATAGAACTATACTCATCACACCAACCCCTTAATGCCACTCAGAGAAGTTAAGAAATCCCTGATGTTTTTCAGCTGAATTATAAGATAAGTGAAGATGCAGGTAAGTCAGGTGATTCAGTCAGGCATGAGAGTTGAATCTGATTAGACACCAGTTTATAGCGTCGTATAATGTTTATGAATGCAACCATCTGACACTTGATTGCCTTTTCCCTAACTCTTGTGGATAGTGTTTGGAGGACGGCTAGTTAGACAGACAACACAAGACCATGGACTTTATTTATTCATTCAAGCTAAACCTGTGGATTCAGAAACAAGTTGCATGAAAAAGGCAATCAAGTGTTAGAGGTAGTGTTCTAAGAAATATCATTGTTGATAAAGTTCCAATTTTTAAAATGAGGCGGTGGGGTAGCCTAGTGGTTAAAGCTTTTGCTTGTCACACCTAAGACCTGGGTTCGATTCCCCACCTGTGAGAACTGTGTGGCCCATTTCTGGTGACCCCTGCCGTGCTATCGCTGGAATATTGCTAAAAGCAGCATAAAACTAAACTCATTCACTCACTCCAATTTTTAATCCTACTCAAAGATCTTAAACTACATTCAGTCACTCACTGACTTGGAGGGGATGAAGTAAATTTACAATGAAATATGGAGAAACAAAAGATGCTGCTTCTTACCCGTGAAGATCCAGGTTAGAATTGGTCTTCAGTAACTCATGCTTAACATAAGAAGCCACTAATGGGATTGGGCAGTCAAGCTTGCTGACTTGTCATCATATCCCAATTACGTAGATCGATGCTCATGCTGTTGATCACTGGATTGTCTGGTCCAGACTTGATTATTTACAGACCGCTGCGATATTGCTGGAATATTGCTGGAATATAGCTGGAATATTGCTGAGTGTGGCGTTAAGCATCAAACAACCAAACTCATATTGCTTCTTTTTTTTCATAGTGAATTAACAGAACCTGCCATGTCTCAAGACCCTGAAACAGGTAGGACTGATGGCTTCTTTTTATAGATAAGGAAATTCCATGAACAACTGTCAAACATGATAACAAGTCGGATTCAGATTTTCCTTGACAGATATCACCATAAAATGTTAGAAAGGTTGACAACACAAATTTCAGTTTAAATGCACCTTACTTCAGGATGTAAAATGTCAAATTTGTTGTCAAATAGAGGAGGCACAAATGGCTAGGCTGTTGAGACTCGCTATGCAACGTAGCTTCTATTTGTCACACCATAAACACATGATGATCAAGTGCCTCGGGTCGATTTCAGTTTATTGGGATCATCAACATGTCAATGCCCAAACTATACTCTTAAAAAAAAGTAGGAGAACTTCATTTTTAATATATAGGATACATCAGAGTCAATCAGTGTTGATATGAGAGTGCATCACCACTTGCACTTCCTTATGACCACAGTTGTTTGTACAGTAATCGCTCTTGAAAGATGATTGGTGAATGACGTGAAATTTGCACATTCATTTTCAAACCAAAAAATGGCTGGAAACAAACACTAACAACTGTGTGATGCAAGATGTTTGTCAAAATTAATGGTCCACAGTGATTTATCGACCTTCTTGAAAAATGTTAAAATCAAGTATGGCACCCCATACACGTATATGGGGCAACTGCGTTGTGTTTAGGGGTGGAGATTAAGAGAAACGGTGGTGTGTTCTTAAGATGTCTGTCTTTGAAAACTCTTACACTTCCTATCCAAATTGAAAGTTCAGGTTCCCCTACTTTTTTCAAGAGTATATAAAGCACACCTGTAAATACCTGAGACCTGCTTATGTTTGAGCTCTCTTCCCACACCAAGCTGGTCGGCCATGATGTAATTGAATTACATGTTAAGGAAGTGTTAAACCCATGTCACTGATTCATCATAGACAAAAATGTAGTTTTTCCTTTCTGTGCTAAAAAGTCTCCTCGTAAAATGAATTTAAATATATTGTACTGCTGTGTGGTGTTCGACTGTAAATAGTTCTATGGTTTTGACAAATTGTGTAAATGATGGGTGCTACTGGGCGGGTGTTACTGGAAGGGCGCTACCGGAAGGGTGCTACTGGGCGGGTGCTACCGGAAGGGTGCTACTGCTTTACATTTTCACAAACACCTGGTGTCATCGCTGATGTTTTGGTCCTCTCATATCATTTTGCACAAACATTATATAATCCAGCTAGGGTCCATGTAGGTAGCAAAAGTACTGTAAGTCCCCATGGTCCCTAGGATGGCGATCCACCTTCAGTTGCTTGTGATCCATAGTTTATAATGTGTCATGTATAGATTTATTGTTTTATGGACACGTGCTAGTTTTACTTGTATATCTGTGATATTTTTGTTATTTTATTGCCCTTTTGACAGATATGTAAGTTGTCAGTTTGTTTTTAATAATGTAAAGCTTTCATAGTCACAATATGGCTGAAATACTGCTGATGTAACTTTAAATTATAACTCGCTCACTCACTAACTTTATTTTTCCGTGTTCCAGTCTCGGATTTAGTGTCGATCCACCAAGACCCCTACACAGCGTGTGATAACTGCCATGCTCTGGTCATATGTACGGAGTGGGATGAGTTCAAGGTGAGGCTTGTTGCACCATTGCCGTTTTTTACCTTTCTGAAATGAGATTGGTTTGTAAGAGCTGACTGAGTATAGGCCCTCAGTACCAAGGTTTGTAAGAGCTGACTAAGCATAGGTCCTCAGTACCAAGGTTTGTAAGAGCTGACTAAGCATAGGTCCTCAGTACCAAGGTTTGTAAGAGCTGACTAAACATAGGTCCTCAGTACCAAGGTTTGTAAGAGCTGACTGAGTATAGGTCCTCAGTACCAAGGTTTGTAAGAGCTGACTAAGCATAGGTCCTCAGTACCAAGGTTTGTAAGAGCTGACTCAGCATAGGTCCTCAGTACCAAGGTTTGTAAGAGCTGACTGAGTATAGGTCCTCAGTACCAAGGTTTGTAAGAGCTGACTAAGCATAGGTCCTCAGTACCAAGGTTTGTAAGAGCTGACTGAGTATAGGCCCTCAGTACCAAGGTTTGTAAGAGCTGACTGAGTATAGGCCCTCAGTACCAAGGTTTGTAAGAGCTGACTGAGTATAGGCCCTCAGTACCAAGGTTTGTAAGAGCTGACTGAGTATAGGCCCTCAGTACCAAGGTTTGTAAGAGCTGACTAAGCATAGGCCTCCAGTACCAAGGCTTGTAAGAGCTGACTGAGTATAGGCCCTCAGTACCAAGGTTTGTAAGAGCTGACTAAGCATAGGTCCTCAGTACCAAGGTTTGTAAGAGCTTACTAAACATAGGCCTCAGTACCAAGGCTTGTAAGAGCTGGAGTCCCTCAGTACCAAGGTTTGTAAGAGCTGACTAAGCATAGGTCCTCAGTACCAAGGTTTGTAAGAGCTTACTAAACATGGGTCCTCAGTACCAAGGTTTGTAAGAGCTGACTGAGTATAGGTCGTCACTACCAAGGTTTGTAAGAGCTTACTAAACATTTGTCCTCAGTACCAAGGTTTGTAAAAGCTGACTCAGCATAGGTCCTCACTACCAAGGTTTGTAAGAGCTTACTTAACATAGGCCTTCAGTACCATGGCTTGTAAGAGCTGACTAAGCATAGGTCCTCAGTACCAAGGTTTGTAAGAGCTGACTAAGCATAGGTCCTCAGTACCAAGGCTTGTAAGAGCTGACTAAGCATAGGTCCTCAGTACCAAGGTTTGTAAGAGCTGACTAAGCATAGGTCCTCAGTACCAAGGTTTGTAAGAGCTTACTAAACATAGGCCTTCAGTACCAAGGTTTGTAAAAGCTGACTGAGTATAGGTCATCGGTACCAAGGTTTGTAAAAGCTGACTAAGCATTTGTCCTCAGTACCAAGGTTTGTAAAAGCTGACTGAGTATAGGTCATCGGTACCAAGGTTTGTAAAAGCTGACTGAGTATAGGTCATCGGTACCAAGGTTTGTAAGAGCTGACTAAGCATTTGTCCTCAGTACCAAGGTTTGTAAGAGCTGACTGAGTATAGGTCATCGGTACCAAGGTTTGTAAAAGCTGACTCAGCATTTGTCCTCAGTACCAAGGTTTCTAAAAGCTGACTGAGTATAGATCATGGGTACCAAGGTTTGTAAAAGCTGACTCAGCATAGGTCCTCAGTACCAAGGTTTGTAAGAGCCAACTAAGCATAGGTCATCGGTACCAAGGTTTGTAAAAGCTGACTGAGTATAGGTCCTCAGTACCAAGGTTTGTAAAAGCTGACTGAGTATAGGTCCTCAGTACCAAGGTTTGTAAAAGCTGACTGAGTATAGGTCCTCAGTACCAAGGTTTGTAAAAGCTGACTGAGTATAGGTCATCGGTACCAAGGTTTGTAAAAGCTGACTGAGTATAGGTCATTGGTACCAAGGTTTGTAAAAGCTGACTAAGCATTTGTCCTCAGTACCAAGGTTTGTAAGAGCTGACTGAGTATAGGTCATCGGTACCAAGGTTTGTAAAAGATGACTGAGTATAGGTCATCGGTACCAAGGTTTGTAAGAGCTGACTAAGCATTTTTCCTCAGTACCAAGGTTTGTAAAAGCTGACTGAGTATAGGTCATCGGTACCAAGGTTTGTAAAAGCTGACTGAGTATAGGTCATCGGTACCAAGGTTTGTAAAAGCTGACTGAGTATAGGTCCTCAGTACCAAGGTTTGTAAAAGCTGACTGAGTATAGGTCATCGGTACCAAGGTTTGTAAAAGCTGACTAAGCATTTGTCCTCAGTACCATGGTTTGTAAAAGCTGACTGAGTATAGGTCCTCAGTACCAAGGTTTGTAAAAGCTGACTGAGTATAGGTCATCGGTACCAAGGTTTGTAAAAGCTGACTAAGCATTTGTCATCAGTACCAAGGTTTGTAAAAGCTGACTGAGTATAGGTCCTCAGTACCAAGGTTTGTAAAAGCTGACTGAGTATAGGTCATCGGTACCAAGGTTTGTAAGAGCTGACTAAGCATTTGTCCTCAGTACCAAGGTTTGTAAAAGCTGACTGAGTATAGGTCATCGGTACCAAGGTTTGTAAAAGCTGACTGAGTATAGGTCATCGGTACCAAGGTTTGTAAAAGCTGACTGAGTATAGGTCATCGGTACCAAGGTTTGTAAAAGCTGACTAAGCATTTGTCCTCAGTACCAAGGTTTGTAAAAGCTGACTGAGTATAGGTCCTCAGTACCAAGGTTTGTAAGAGCTGACTAAGCATAGGTCCTCAGTACCAAGGTTTGTAAGAGCTGACTAAGCATAGGTCCTCAGTACCAAGGTTTGTAAGAGCTGACTAAACATAGGTCCTCAGTACCAAGGTTTGTAAGAACTGACTGAGTATAGGTCCTCAGTACCAAGGTTTGTAAGAGCTGACTAAGCATAGGTCCTCAGTACCAAGGTTTGTAAAAGCTGACTGAGTATAGGTCCTCAGTACCAAGGTTTGTAAGAGCTGACTAAGCATAGGTCCTCAGTACCAAGGTTTGTAAGAGCTGACTAAGCATAGGTCCTCAGTACCAAGGTTTGTAAGAGCTGACTAAACATAGGTCCTCAGTACCAAGGTTTATAAAAGCTGACTGAGTATAGGTCCTCAGTACCAAGGTTTGTAAGAGCTGACTAAGCATAGGTCCTCAGTACCAAGGTTTGTAAGAGCTGACTAAGCATAGGTCCTCAGTACCAAGGTTTGTAAAAGCTGACTAAGCATTTGTCCTCAGTACCAAGGTTTGTAAAAGCTGACTAAGCATTTGTCCTCAGTACCAAGGTTTGTAAAAGCTGACTGAGTATAGGTCTTCAGTACCAAGGCTTGTAAAAGCTGACTGAGTATAGGTCATCGGTACCAAGGTTTGTAAGAGCTGACTAAGCATTTGTCCTCAGTACCAAGGTTTGTAAGAGCCAACTAAGCATAGGTCTTCAGTACCATGGCTTGTAAAAGCTGACTGAGTATAGGTCATCGGTACCAAGGTTTGTAAAAGCTGACTAAGCATTTTTCCTCAGTACCAAGGTTTGTAAGAGCTGACTGAGTATAGGTCCTCAGTACCAAGGTTTGTAAGAGCTGACTGAGCATAGGTCATCGGTACCAAGGTTTGTAAGAGCCAACATTACTTGGGATGAGATGGACACCATAGCTACCATCAAAACACTAAGAGTTACCAGTCAAAACCAACTTTGCTGGCTGCTAACTGCAAGCTGTCATGTAGCTGTCATGTGACAGTCATGTGATTGTCATGCTAGATACTCACTGACTGTAGAAATGTCTTTTCCAGCACCTGGACTACCAGCAGATCTACAAGAAGATGTTGAAGCCAGCCTTTGTGTTTGATGGGAGGATGATCATCAATCACCAAGCCCTCATAGACATTGGTTTCCATGTGGAGACGATAGGCAAAAGACTCACTCGCAAAAACGTCAACCGACAAGTTGCTCCAGCTGCTCAGTAGGCTGGACCGACAGCATCTCCGTCCAAGCCTTGATACAGAGGCGTCCCAGAGTATTCTAGGGGTAGTCTCGGGATAGTCTCGGATTAGTCACGGATTAGTCACGAGGTAGTCTCGGGATAGTCCCAGGGTAGTCCCGGGGTAGTCTCGGATTAGTCCCGAGGAGGTCTCGGGATAGTCCCGGGGTAGTCCTGGGGTATTCTTGGGGAAACCTCGGGGAAGTCTTGGGGTAGTTCCATGGTAGTCTTGGGGTAGTCCCAGTTGGTAACAGTCCCACATCTTTCTAGCAAAGTTTGTCCAGATCTTTCTTTTCCTCGTAATTTTTCTTCACCAGTTACTTACTTAAAAAGGCATTATGCTTAGATTTGCAGTGTCACATCATTCACAATCTGCATTCTACCATGACATTTTGGTTGCATTCTGACTTTACCACCATTACTGCTCAATCTACGTTTAAATGATTTTGCTGCTGACTGCATTATCATGAAAGATACATTTATTCAAACTGAGCCATTTCATAATTTCAGATACTGATCATACTAATAAGGTAATGCACTTCCTACACTGTTTATAAGAGGAATGTATTCAGCAGGAGAACTTGACAAACACGTAGGAAGGAAGTGTATTGTAAAAAGGTAAAATCAATAACTGACATTTCTTACTACTCGGTCACATACTTCCCATCTGTAGAGGGGAACTGGGGTAGCCTAGTGGTTATAGCGTTCACTTGTCACACCAAAAACCTGGGTTCCATTCCCCACATGGGAATAATGTAGAAATCCATTTCTAGTGTCCCCTGACGTGATATTGCTAGAATATTGAAAAAAGCAACATAAAACCTCGCTCGCTCGCTCACTCACTCACTCACTCACTCACTCACTCACTCACTCACTCACTCACTCACTCACTCACTCACTCACTCACTCACTCACTCACTCACTCACTCACTCACTCACTCACTCACTCACTCACTCACTCACTCACTCACTCACTCACTCACTCACTCACTCACTCACTCCTCACTCTCACTCACTCACTCACTCCTCCTCACTCACTCACACTCCTCTCACTCACTCACTCACTCACTCACTCACTCACTCACTCACTCACACTCACTCACTCACTCACTCACCTGTAGAACTTTATGACAGTATATGAATGGGTGTCAGTGCGAAAAATGTTTACAGGGTTTCTCCAACATGATTTTGTTAATTTCATCATGAAAACTATGGGCTGTAAGTCAAAGTCAGGTGGATTGTAACCCATCAGATCCCTCAGTTCATCCTTCCAGCACATCACTAATCATTTCTGCTGTAAGAGTATGTGTTTCTTCTCACATTGTTAAATGCAGATACTCTAAGTTTGAGGTTTCAAAGTTTGATTGATACCTGTAAATGTGCACATTTGAATCTGCAGGTTTTCTTTATTGTGTTCAGTTTCTAATGAAAATTTGTGGAATTGAATCTCAGTTTAACGCTACTTCCTGACTATTATCTTCTACTTCCTGAATTATCTTCTACTTCAGACTTTGGGGATGTAGATCAAATGATGCTTATTCAGGGATTATATTTTGGTGTCACAGTATGGAGATTTGTTAGATGGTGATTGTGTTTGAAAGCTTGTCTCCTGAGATTTCAAGGACTTCTGTCTTGCCCCACAATGAAGCACATATAGTGTCTCTTCAGACTATGACTTGGTTTGAAATATGCTTCCATCATTAGGAGCGCAGTGTAGATCTTGACATGGTAAACTGCACCCTATGTGCAGCTATTGCATTGTCTCTCTGCATTCTGGGTCAGTAGTCGGTCACTGCAAATCTTAAAATTAAATCAAAAGAATAACAGTGCCTTTTGAATGACGTGAATCAAATTTTCACTGCATTGACATGCCTAGCAATCCTGTTGTCTTTCACGAGGGGATGCGAGTTAGGTGATGATATTGATACAATGATACATGTACATATTCAAAACAAAGATATCATGAATTTTTTTTTAGGATATTTTAAGATTTGTGTTCTACACTAGCTTAGTTACCGAAATTTTCAGGATCCCTAACTTTTTTTGTATAGCATATATGGAACACGAGGGTGACAGTTAATAAATTGTGACACAGGGGTGACATATAGTTAATATATTGTATCATGAGGGTGACATTTGTCATAAATTGTGATACAAGGGTGACAGATATTTAATAAATTGTAGCACAAGGGTGACAGATATTTAATAAATTGTAGCACAAGGGTGACAGATATTTCATAAATTGTAGCACAAGGGTGACAGATATTTCATAAATTGTAGCACAAGGGGGACATATTTCATAAATTGTAATACAAGGGTGACAGATATTTCATAATTTGTAACACGAGGGTGACATATTTTTTTTATAAATTATGACACTTAGGTGACCGATATTTCATAGACTGTAACACAAGGGTATTTCATAAATTGTGGCACTGTTTTGGTATATATACTGGACAAAAATATATGTATATGAAATTATGAATAATGATGTATTTATTCATTGACACATTGATAAAATATCAATCATAAAAATACCAATATCCCTAACTTATTTTGCCCAGTATATTTTCAAGTGCAATGCTGTAGTTCCTGATATTTCATAAACTGTATCACTACAGAAACTATTTGGATTTTTAATATACATCCCAATCTACTTAACATGTCCAAGTTCACTTAAATATAATTTTACCTCTGTTTTAGAGAATCTGAACATGTAGTTCTATTTGTCGACTGTACTGTTTATTATGTGCTAATTTATTGAAAATATATGAGTGAGGGCAGAGCAGAGATGTTTGAACTTACAGTCTTATTTGACGAATATCTACCAAATAGATTACTTATGCAAATGTTGTTTTTAATACTTAAGGTTACTGAAACATGGCCACAATTCAGTGTGCTTCATGGATTGTTTCTCTCACACACGTCATCTCGGCTATCTAACCCTCTGCCACCATATCTCAGTTGCGTAGATCGATGTTCATGCTGTTAATCACTGGATTGTCTGGTCCAGACTCGATTATTTACAGACCGCCGTCATGTAGCTGGAATATTGGTGAGTGCGGTGTAAAAAGCAAAGCAAACCAAACCCAAAACCACTGCCACCATCATGTCCCATCGACCGTTCCATCCTCCATCCCATCCCATCCCATCCCATCTTGACCCATCCCTGTTATTGTTGTCTGTCTTAGTGTTCATTAAGTAGGGATTGGTGGCCTCTTTGTGTAAGGCATCACAATTCTATGTGCAGAGTTGCCTCCCTTTATTGTATCAGCATGCGCTGACTTGGTGCATATATCAGATTTGCGGGTGGTTTGGTAGCCTAGTGGTTAAAGCGTTCACTTGTCACGCTGAAGACCTGGGATCTATTCACAACATGGGTACAATGTGTAAAGCCCATTTCTGGTGTCCCCCTGCCATGATATTGCTGGAATATTGCTAAACTCACTCACTCATTCAGATTTGCCTTGATTTATAATCTGTCATAAATCATCAGTTGCTTCCCTTAACTTTGCAAGGGTCTGCCGATTGTTGGTCTGTATCTTGATCCATAATTATAAGTAATTCAGATCTCAATGTTTGTAGGAAGTGGCAAGTGTCTTCAGCTGTATCATGCTGTTCCTTCCACGTCAACCCAAAATGTGGGTATCAAACAGATCCAATGATGGTAGATGAATGATCGAGAAAAATGTACTTTAAAATGTTTCTAATACTTAATCTGATGCATTTATCATCCCCGTCCACTGCTACACCACTTCTAAGTCTCATTTGACCAGATAAATGTTATTAAGTAGCTACAAACAACATGTATAAATGCATGACTATTTCTTTTTCCTTTGTTAAACTTTCTGGCCTGCTTAATGTTACTTAAAATAGAATTTTACATCACCCAAAGTTATGTGTATGTTTGTTTGACACACCTTAGCTAAATTTTTTCCCGCAAGCATGGGTGGCTGTTAGTGGTGTTCTGATGATCGAAAATAATCGAAAATCGATCGAAAGAAGGATTAAAAATAATGATCAGTTGTAAAAAACATATTTTCGATTAATCGGAATTTAATTGTATAGGTATAACACACTTGGATGAAGTAAACTAACCATTAAATTTGACGAATATTCAGGATATTCATGAATGATGGTATATATATTTAATGATATAGAATAGAATAATCAAGTAATGAGAATATGAAAGAAAGCATTGTGGAATTGAAGCACTTTTATTGTTTAATCACAATTCCAGTGTCTTTCACTGTATGACAGTATTAGTTATAAAAAAAACATTAATTTGAAAAACAACTGGGGAAAACCTATTAAAATTGGTGATTACATTAAAAAAGTATATTCTTTGATTATAATCGATAATCATTCACAAAAGTTCTCCGATAATCGATAGTCGATTTGGGTTCCCAACACTAGTGGCTGTGTCATAATGGGCACCTTCATTACAGCTCTGTTAGGCAACCAGTAACCTGTGATCTTGGGTTCGAATCCAATTTTGCCTCAGTCATGTTTCTAGGTTTGTCTGTACCGATACTCACGAGCTCCACCAAAGCAATAAACCTGAGACCTGCATCATTTCGAGCTATATATAGTTGTATCCTGAGAATATGCAGAATCCGTTGTCTTCATCTACCTATCGTCTTCCTGTTACAACATGGTGGTGTCATTTTCCTTGCTCTCCATCTTATTTCTCAACACTGACATTACTCTCCACTGCTTTAGGTCTGAGCGATGCAAAATATTTACAACCAGTACCAGTGGTCAAATAGTCTGTGTTAGGGTTAGTCACTGAATTGTGCAGAGTTGCTTCCCTTGAGTAGCTCATGTGTTTCTACAGTTTGTTAAACAGCTTTGTCACTTATGTTGGCATAGCTCCGCTTCACACTATCCCCTGTAAGTATGTATCCATGTAACATGATGCCCATGTTTTCTGACTATCTGTCTCAGAACAGCTGATTCAGCAGTAAAAGACAATCACTCCTTGATGAATCCAAACTTTGTGACTGGCTTTTTCCAAATGGCTTTGATTTTACTGCTGAAAGTTAACAGGTGGCATTACCACAGACAAATAAATGGCCTCATCCTTATGATGTAGAAGTTGTGTGAGAATGTAGATGTGCTTGACTAACGAATCATGCAGTGTCAGTATGTGTTAGTATGTGTCAGTACACGTAAAACAGGCTCAAGGGGTGCACTCGTATGTTCCTTGTCTTGTACACCCAGATACTGAGGGTCCAGGGTCACTCAAACATTCATTGTCATGTACACCCTGATACTGAGGGTCCAAGGTGTACTCAAACATTCATTGTCTTGTACACCCTGATACTGAAGGTCCAAGGTGTACTCAAACATTCATTGTCTTGTACACCCTGATACTGAAGGTCCAAGGTGTATTCAAACATTCATTGTTTTGTACAACCTGATACTGAAGGTCCAAGGTGTATTCAAACATTCATTGTCTTGTACATCCTGATACTGAAGGTCCAAGGTGTACTCAAACATTCATTGTCTTGTACACCCTGATACTGAAGGTCCAAGGTGTACTCAAACATTCATTGTCTTGTACACCCTGATACTGAAGGTCCAAGGTGTACTCAAACATTCATTGTCTTGTACACCCTAATACTGAAGGTCCAAGGTGTACTCAAACATTCATTGTCCAGTACACCCTGATACTGAAGGTCCAAGGTGTACTCAAACATTCATTGTCTTGTACACCCTGATACTGAAGTTCCAAGGTGTACTCAAACATTCATTGTCCAGTACACCCTGATACTGAAGGTCCGAGGTGTACTCAAACATTCATTGTCTTGTACACCCTGATACTGAAGGTCCAAGGTGTACTCAAACATTCATTGTCTTGTACACCCTAATACTGAAGGTCCAAGATGTACTCAAACATTCATTGTCCAGTACACCCTGACACTGAAGGTCCAAGGTGTACTCAAACATTCATTGTCTTGTACACCCTGATACTGAAGGTCCAAGGTGTACTCAAACATTGTCTTGTACACCCTGATACTGAAGTTCCAAGGTGTACTCAAACATTCATTGTCTTGTACACCCTGATACTGAAGGTCCAAGGTGTACTCAAACATTCATTGTCTTGTACACCCTGATACTGAAGTTCCAAGGTGTACTCAAACATTCATTGTCTTGTACACCCTGATACTGAAGGTCCAAGGTGTACTCAAACATTCATTGTCTTGAACACCTCAATATCGAGAGTTGATGTTGATGCACTGAGACACTCTGTAGATACAAATTAGTTCCCATTTCGTCAGTGTTCGTAATATCGCTGGGAAATTGTTTGCGATATTTAGCAATCTGACTTGGATGCATTGTGAGCTGGACCATTATCTATTGTTTTAAGTCCTGTTGGCACCTGTATAGTACCCACAGATGTCACATAAATACACATGTATATATATATGAGGGCATTAGTCTTTCTTTGGCAACATGTTTACTGGTTTCTATGGTGATGGCTGAGGATTCTGCTTCTGTTATTTTAGCAATGGCGAATGAGTAAAAAAGTATTATTATTTCACAATCTTAATCAAAGTGCAGCACCTTCGACAAGAACAGAAAGTCTGTGGTTCAAACCCTGGTGCATCATATTCAAAGGTGTATTTGTTGTTACCTTGCCTCACGATCTGTGGGGCGGTGGGTTAGTCTGGTGGTTAAAGCGTCTGCTTGTCACGCCAAAGACACGGGTTCTATTCTCCATGTGGCCACAATGTGTGAAGCCGATTTCTGGTGTCCGCCGCCATGACATTGCTGGAATATTGCTAAAAGCGGCATAAAACCAAACCCACTCACTCACTCATGTTCTGCATTAAGAGGTGTATAAAGACAGTTAGGCTTATAGTCAATATACTGTGACTCCATGTTGATCTGCGTCATGGTATCATGCTAGAGGCCTTTACATAATCTTATCGATAAAACTTGGATGATGTTTTTGTCTTTCATGAGAGTTATAATATTAGCATCTATTTGTAAGAAAATATTAGTATATATTAGTATTAATATAAGTATTTAGCTGATCGGGTGATGCTCTATTAGTGTCTTTTACACCAATGGTGTACATACTCATCAGTATCATGCACGGGTCTCGACAATTACGCTTGTCACCTTCACAAGTGAAAGCAAATGTTCATCAGGACCAGTACCGTTGATAGATAAATATAGAAGATCTAAGTTGTGAATGGAAAGTTCTGAAATAACTGATATTTTGCAGTAGTACAGACATTCTAAGTAATCCACTAGTGTTGTTAGACCAGGGCGGTGGCTATCCCAGTGTTCGCTTGTCACGCCAAACACCCGAGTTCGATTCTCCACATGGGTACAATGTGTGAAGCCCATTTCTGGTGTTCCCAGCCGTGATATTGCTGGAATATGGCTGAAAGTGGCGTAAAACCATAATCACTAACTCACTATGTCAGACCACAGGGGTTTGTAATGCAAGAAAAAAGCATCAAGATGTATATATATTGTCAGTACATGGATCTTAGCTTTATTTAAAAGATTGCCTTTCATATAATATTAAGACCTTTGCAGTGACAATATATGTTTTGATGTTCATGTTTTACGTTACAAGCCCCCCAGTGTGTTAGACAAGGATTAAGACAACTGCGTCACTACATCAGAATGGTTTCTTTTAAAACTCTTGACCAGTGTATCCATAGCTTCTGATGGCGCCTTTGTATGGACAGAGAGCTGTGGTGCTGCAGTCTCTTACAGCATTATATTTACATATAAATTATATTCCTGAAAACCAGGATAATGATGCCTCTAAGTTTAGTTGTTGAGATAGTTGTCAAAGGCTTCATTCAAATGCTGATTACATTGAATCAAATATTTATATGTCTTTGTTTGTTCTCTGTTAACTTCCGTTATATCGCTCAAACAAATTCTTTAAATTTATAAAAATGATCATATATCCTTTGTGCCAATCATACATGTAGATCATGCAGATCATGAAGATCATGAAGATCAAAGGTCTCATTGGCTAAGTCCTTGCAAAGATTATTTTTTCGCAACGAATGAAATAGATTGAACTATTTTTATATATCATGCAATCATGTGTAGATAGTTTTTCACGGTAGTGCTAATTATACTATTCCACTTTTAATGAGATATTTCTTTGTTATCTCTCCATGATCTTCAAATGTTCTGTTATGTCGGGTGTATATTTGAAGATATCTCACAAATGATTATCCCTTTGAAAAGTGGAGTAGTATATATCATTGGGTCAGGCAAAGAATCGGGGTTCTTTTAGTTCGTGTGTTTGTACAAAATTGTTGGTGGTATATCATGGTGTCTATGATTGCTAGTATATACTACTCACAACAAGTTAGGGAACATCGAAAAGAAGGCTGTGATGCAGTGTCCACAGTCAATTAACTTTAGAGATGAAAAAAAAAATAAGGTGTTCCTTAATTTTTGTGTGTAGTGTATAATGACTCATCGTGAATGGCAGTGTTCATGCTTAAGTTTTTTAATATATAGTATTCATTTGTAGACTATTTTATGTTGAGAAAATGAGTGAAAATTGTTTGATTTCTGAATGATTTTTGTTGATGGTATTAGCACACAAACTGAATCATTTTGTTGTTGTGTCCAGGGTCATGTGTGCGGCTCAGAAATCCTCCATATTAGTTCCTGAAGTCAGTCTCGTTTCCATTTGACCATTATTTCTTTCAGATTATTTGTATTTGGCAAAGCATTTTTACTGTGCAAGTGTGTTATAGATGCTGAATTACTAAGGATTGTTGAGATGTCAGTGTTTAAAATTATGGATGGAAGTCTGGGATGTCTTGTGTGGATAAGTATTAACATTTCAGGGTCTTACTGTGTTCAAAGGACATCTTACCACATGGCTTACTGTTGATACTAAAGGTTAAATGGGCCAAAAATCAGAATGTGGATTTTAGGGGAACATGTAAATTGTGGACTAATATCCGAAAAGAAATTATATCAAAAGGGATGCTAAACCCTGTGTTCAAAACCATGGATCATATATCCCTAGGTACAAATATTCACTCAGAAACAGTTAAGGACTACAAAGTCTGTCAAAGCATGGCATGACAGATTAACTATAATAATACAAAAGAATTGGGTGGTCCTTTACTTTTTTTGAGCAGTTTTAGATCAAAACATCCCTCTTACTTTCACTGGATAATATATAAGATGGCCACAAATGTATTTATTAGTATGTGTTCAGATTGGTATCATTTTGAAATATATTTTACACTGAACTTGTACATGTGTTATAGAGATTTTTACATATGTTTATTGCCTTTATAATGTATTGCAAGTACTGGGCAGTTTTTAGGGTTGATTATGATGTCAATGTTGACAGCGGGAGATATATTATTCATGTTTAGGATATTAAATAATTTCTAATACTTTTGTGACTTGTTATATTTTACAAGAGAGGCAGTGTTTGTAGCACTGAAGTTGGTTGGTTGGCTGGTTGGTTGCACTTGGTTGTTTAACAGGCTGCACTCGGCAATATTACAGCTATATAGCAGCGGTCTGTAAATAATCGAGTCTGGATCAGACAATCCAGTCATCAACAGCATGAGCATTGACCCATGCAGTTGGGAACCAATTACATGTGTCAACCAAGCCAGCGAGTCTGACCACCAGATCCTGTTAGTCGCCTCTTACATATAGCTGGAATATGGAGTGTGGCGTAAAACTATACTCACTCACTCACTACTTTACATACGTCTTACTACCCTCATTCTTACTCCTTTACACCCTTCTCAACGCCCCCTTCCCCTCTTCCCTCCTTCATATCCATCTTAACACTCTCCTTAACATCCTCCCTTACATGCTTCACCGTGGTGATGTTGCTGGAATATTGCTAAAAGCAGCGTAAAACCAAACTCAGGCAGGCCTTACATGCTTCTCAACACTCCTTCACATCCTTCTTTACACTTTCTTGAACAGCCGTCTTTACATCTTTTTGGTGATCCTCTTTTACATCCGTCTGTAAGTAATCATGTCAGGACCAGTGATCAACAGCATGAGCATCTATCTACTCAATTGGGATATGATGGCGTGTGTCAGCAGCCAGAGATCCTGTTAGTCGCCTCTTACGAAAAGCATGGGTTACTGAAGATCAATTCCAGGATCCTCAAGGGTCCAAAAACGGTGGGAAGACTCACTCTCAAAAGTTTACAAAAATAAATGAGAATAAGCTATTGTCGGCATTACACGGGTTTCATCATTAAGCTGCTAATATGATGAACATTTTACCAGGCCATAATCGTGGATGATTTAAAAATATTAAAACTTAACAAGTCGGAGAGAGTGATATATTTACAAAATGACCCCATGAAAATTCACTAGCCAGTCGGGCCAGTGACTGTGGAGATTTACTGGCCCGAATAGATTTTTACTAGCCATGGGCTAGCGGGCCAGTGGCTATTTCGCACACAGATGGCTCCCAATGTGACGCCACAAGTTTCCCACCAAACATACTTTGAAGTAAGATGCAGCTGCAGGTGGCCCATTTTTCGCGGTGATCAAGCTGTCTACAGTTAACCAATATCTGTCCATTTGCATCTCCTCAAATCGGTTAACGTGACGAACAGGTTTGATAATATCAAATGGTCTTGAATCGATGAAATAAGAAAAGGTGTTATGAACTCTCGGATTGTTTAATTTTAAGTATTAAAAGCCAAATTCCATTAATCTAATTATCTTTCTTTTTCTCCAACTGACGATTTTCTTTTCTCTTAATTATTTTTCCAATTTCCTCACCCCCAAAAGTTCTGATATCTCATCAACTGATAAATCCGAAGCAGGTGGATTTAAATTACGTCACTGACAAGAAACGAACATTGCAACCTTCAACGGTTATGTCAAGGTTCGCTTTGTTTGTTGTTGTAACGCCGAACTCTGTAGGTTTACCCAAATGTGAGATCTGGAGACATTATTCAAATTTCCTCACCTCCAAAAGTTCTGATATCTCATCAATTGACAAATCCGAAGAAGGTGGATCTAAATTACGTCACGGACAAGAAACGAAGACGGTAACCTTCAACGGTTATATCAAGGTTTGCTTTGTTGTTTAACGCCGAACTCTGTAGGTTTACCCAAATGCGAGATCTGAGAGTGTGTGTGTGTGCAGGGGGTGCACCCCCGTCTCACCCCTATTGTCCTCAAAGTTTATTAAATGACCCATGAAAACGGGTGAAAATGAAGTGTGCACCCTCCCTTTCCCAAGAGTGTGCACCCCCTCCTTTCTCAAAAAGCTGTCCGTCCCTGACTTCCAGTTATCTACCTGTTAAGAAGATCCCGGTTAGAACTGATCTTCAGTAACCAATGCATGTCGTTAGAAGCGGCTAACGGGATCGGGTGGTTAGGTTCGCTGACTTGCTTGACACATATCATTGTATTCCAACAGATCGATGCTCATGCCGTTGATCACTGGATTGTCTGGTCCAGACTTGATTATTTACAGCCCGCCGCCATGTAGTTGGAATATTGCTGAGTGCGGTGTAAAACTAAATTCACTCACTCACTTCCAATCATCCCAGATTCGAGAGAACCGTAAAAGAATAACCAAAGAGGATTAGGCGGGTATAAGGCTTTCACATCGACACATCCATAAATTCGATACAAGGGTGTTTGACTGTACATGTGCAGCCTAATGGCGTAACATGTTTCAAGGTGTCAATATGCTTTTATATTTTTTTAATGTGTCCTCATTGTACAGCTTGTTTTCGTCACTATATTGCTGAAACACTGAGGGTGTCTCCTTTGAGTGGCATACTTAGGATGTGACTACAAATCTTAACTCACTCACTCACACTGCATACAATATGCCGTTTCTTCATTTAGAACCCAAATATTGTAATGGCTGAAAGCTACAATTTATCAAACAGCTGCGTTGATGTTTCCATGTGGTATTAATAAAACTGTTGGAATCTTCTTACTTTCAGTGTGTATTAAAGTTTATAATGTTTAAACATTACACCAAACAATCCATCAAAATACTGATTTTTACAGAGTGCCCTCTTAACCTCTCTCTGAAATCATATTTAAAAAATGACGACCTTGACAAACTGGCGTTTGACAAGCAACAAAGGAGAAAAAAAGTAAAATAGCCTATTTGTTTTATAACCGACTTAAACGTCTGGGGAAAACATTTGGCATTACATTCTGTAACAAGATGTGTTTGCATGCAATCTGAAAGTAGCTGTCATGAAGAATCACGTTATCAAATCAAAGTTTAAGTAAAAAGTATATGTAAACAGCTCAGGAATAACGCTCAAAACATCACCATGACATCAGATAACTTTTGTCAATGACAAGAGAAACGAATAAAACCGATGGTTTTCGGAATGTTCAAAGGGAGGTCACTCTCATTTCCAGTCCATGCATCGGCTGCTTCTGTTGGAATGGAGATTTTTGTTACCTTGCTGTTGATCCTATGGATCTTGTTTGATGTCAACTATTTCATCTATGCCTTCTTGACATTTCTTTATGGTTTTATAAAGGGTTTGATATCGCCTATTAACCTGATGGACGAAAGCGTCATATACGGTAAGTTACTTCATCGGGTCTTTTTGACGATGAGCATCCATGATGCACAAAAATGACCTTTGGCCTATAATTGATGCCTGCTTTTGTTCACTTTAACATGTGCAAATAAATATATGTCGACAAAAAGGGCAAGATACTTATATTACCTGTACAACAGGTGTTCAACGATGACCTAGATTTTGTCTGTTTTCGACTCAATCTCTCAAATAATGGCTAGGAGCTTGTATTATGAGATATTTCTCTTGGATTCCAAATCGAGTGCCATTAGCATTTGTTAAAAATCAAGGTATTATTCAAATTTGATTTGTCTTCATGTTCTTGTGGTCATTAAATCAGAGAAATTCGAAAATGTTTTGTTCAAATTTGATATTTATACAGTAAACTTGGGGGTAATTAGGCATTTCAACAGGGCTAGATATAAATTCTGTTCAGTATGATAAAACATACAGAGTGACTCTGTTCGACTTAAAGACATGTTAGAGGATACCAAATAATCTGTACCCACAAAATATGGCTAATACGTATCTAAAATTCCTGATACCTGATTTGGGGCATTCATACTTTTTTGTGCAAACTTGTACACCAATTTGGATGACGAGACACAAAACTAATTGATCAGTACACAAATTTGGAGGCCCTGTACCCATTTATTTTGATATTTGTAACAAGTCGATATTTAAGCAACATGTCCTAAAACAGATTTGTTGTGTATGAATCATTCAGTTGCTGAGTTACTTGTTGTCCAACATTTGTGTCAACCGGCCAGAGTATAGAATAAAAGGTGCAGATCTCTATGGGTACAGATTGTTCAGTTGGACAAATTGGAATGTCAAAACAACCATTTAGCATGTGTTTTGCTGAGAGTACTGTAAATCCATTCTTTACTTTGAGGAGGGTGCTAGGAAGATGTTTTTGTTTCTGTTCTTTCAGGCCTCTGTATGACGAACGACATGGATCTTCAGTGGCATATGAACAATGGTAGATATCTAAGGAACTGTGACTTTGGCAGGTTCATTCACATTATGGAGACCAAAATATACCCAACAGCCAGAAGGCTCGGGGCCAACATGTATCTGGCTGGGAGCAACATCCGCTACAGGAGGTCCCTGCAGTTGTTTGATGTCTACCGCATCCACACCAGGGTAAAGTTACATTAGGCCAGACCAATTTTATTTCTTGTTTTATGGATCCGCCGGTTGTATTTTTTCAAGAATAAGAAGAAAAAAAATAATTAATTTCCCACGCTCAAAAAATACAATTTTGATATTTCTATTGGCCAAAAATGTAAATGTGCAAGAAAATGTTTAAGATTGTTTTTTTGCCCCATATACACGTCATAAATTGCCAAAAATAAAAAACTTTTAGTATTTAGAAGGAATATTACTTTGACTGTTGATTTTTATTTTCATTTTTTTCCCCTCCTGCCTTTAGGTTTTCTGAGGACAAACATCTGTAAAACTAGAAATAAAATTGGTCTGGCCTTATGTTATATTGGCATGATTAGTGGCCATATATACAGTTATCTTAGTGGCCACATTTACAGTTATCTTAGTGGCCATATGTACAGTTATCTTAGTGGCCACATGTACAGTTATCTTAGTAGCCATATGTACAGTTATCTTAGTAGCCACATGTACAGTTATCTTAGTGGCCATATGTACAGTTATCTTAGTGGCCATATGTTCAGTTATCTTAGTAGCCACATGTACAGTTGTCTTAGTAGCCATATGTACAGTTATCTTAGTAGCCTATACAGTAAACTATGTTTACAACGAGCACACTTATTATGAACTGACTGATATGACCAATGACACAAACTGGTTATGTATTAGATATACCCACACTTTCCGAGGTGTGCCGCTCAATACCCTACTGTTTGAGTCGTGTGGCCTCCGGCGTTAGCCGAGGAGACCACACGACTCAAACAGTAGGCGATAGCCACACACGGAGAAGTGTGGGTACATCTGACTTATACCTCACTTCTGGTCGGAGTTACGAGTTTATTATAACACTTTATGTTCTAGTTATGACAAAAAAAATTATTTCTTTTCCATCTGTTTCATTTATTTTTAGCCCACTGGTTAAGACCTCCAATGTCCATGTCTATAGTCTGTTTGCAGTGAAACCTACCGATCAATTTCACTTTAAACAAAAAGTACTCAAATAGTGAAATTAAGATTGCGAATCTCATAATTTGACCTTGCCAAATGAACATCTCAGAATTATATTCAACTTAGAATAAAATTTGTTTAACAAATGATCATAGTTTCAAATCAATATTATTGGTTTGTATTACAATTTTAGGGGTAAGCTTGCAGTAGTTGGAACAGTGAAACAAATGCCCGTATGCGGTACGTAATGCGCTAACTTCTACCAAACCTGCATGTTCTGGGTGTTTCATTTAATGCGCATACCCCATTGTAATACAAACCAATAATAGCTTTGAAACTTTGATCGCTTTGTTAAACAACTTTTATCCTAAGCTGAATATAATTCTGAGATTTAAATGTTCAATAGGCAAGGTAAAATTACGGGATTTGCAATCTTAGTTTCACTTTATTCGATTTACTTTTTAAAGTGATATTCATCGGTATCGCCACTGCAAACAGACTATAAGCAGTCGATTGCACGCGTGCATGCACGGGCTTGTAATGATTTCCCTACGATTTTAAGCACCAGTTCGGGCGCCGAATGACTTCAAGTAGCCCCAAATATGCACAATATTACTGATAATTGACATTTGTATGGGCAGACCAATGCGCATGCGTCTCTGACTCGCATGTGGCATAGAAAACATTTGGAAGATCACACGTTCGCTTCGCCATGGATGCTGAAGAGTGGACAGAGGATTTTCTTTCTCAAATTGACAGTTCGTTAGCCGCCACATTTCGACCTGGATGATAAGGAAGATTTTGAAACAATCGAAATCTCAAAGTGAGTCCATTGAAATAAAATTATATTTCGCCGTTTGTTGTGTCTTTATTGCTTCGGTATACCCTAGTGAAAAAGTGTAGGTGTATCATTGATACACCTACACTTTTGACAGGTGTACCGGTCAATACACCTACACTTTTAACAAAGGAAACCATGGCAACGAGACCGGAAGTGGGGTATAAGTTGCTTTTGGCCATTTACTGTATATTTCAGTAGAAAAAAAATGTAAATGTGCAAGAAAATGTTTAAGATTGTTTTTTTGCCCCATATACACGTCATAAATTGCCAAAAATAAAAAACTTTTAGTATTTAGAAGGAATATTACTTTGACTGTTGATTTTTATTTTCATTTTTTTCCCCTCCTGCCTTTAGGTTTTCTGAGGACAAACATCTGTAAAACTAGAAATAAAATTGGTCTGGCCTTATGTTACATTGGCATGATTAGTGGCCATATATACAGTTATCTTAGTGGCCACATTTACAGTTATCTTAGTGGCCATATGTACAGTTATCTTAGTGGCCACATGTACAGTTATCTTAGTAGCCATATGTACAGTTATCTTAGTAGCCACATGTACAGTTATCTTAGTGGCCATATGTACAGTTATCTTAGTGGCCATATGTACAGTTATCTTAGTAGCCACATGTACAGTTGTCTTAGTAGCCATATGTACAGTTATCTTAGTAGCCTATACAGTAAACTATGTTTACAACGAGCACACTTATTATGAACTGACTGATATGACCAATGACACAAACTGGTTATGTTGCTTTTGGCCATTTACTGTATATTTCAGTAGAAATGCTGATGAACGACTCATATACTGAACTAAAACTAGTCGTCCTTTTGAATTTTGTTTTAGCCACAGTTTACTGTATGTTCCTTAATTACAGAGTTATCTCCCTTTCATTCCACATTGTGTTACTTCTGGTAACTTTCTGTTTCTTTTGATGCTCAAGGTTTGTTAGTTTCCTCGAATTCCGTACATTCTGTGTAGTGTATGTAGATTGTTTGACGTAGTTGGGCAGTTAGTTTTCAGGCTGACTCGAGAGTTGGATGGCATGTTGCAGAGGACTTGGCGTACTGTATCCGTCTCTGGCTAACTGTGTGGGCCAAAAGAAGTTGAATAAATGTACAGATTATTGTATCTTGTTTAAATTTCCTCAATTACCTAGTGCTGAAACTGAGATGGGAACCTGGGTTGGAATAAGTGTCTGACACAGTATTCCCAATGTCTAGCTTATCATATTGTCAACATTTCAGTCAGCTGTTACTGTGTTGTTTAACACCACACTCAGCAATAATCCTGTCATATGATATATATCATCTGGATCGGGATCAGCTCCTGAATTAATGAGCAATGAATAATTCTTTCCAGATTTGTTGACTGACAATCAACAAGCCACTAAGGCTGATTGCTTGGTCCACACATGCTGCTGTTATCCTAACCTGAAATCACAGGATTGTCTGGTCCAAATTTGGTTCATTTCAGGGTAATATCATAAAGCTGGAATATCACTGAGGGCAGCATACAACAACAAATGTATAGTAAACAATCTTATGGGTAAAATTTAGAGTTCCTAGACCTTCACACATTGTACTCATGCAGGGAATTAAACCAGGCCTTTAGCGTGATGAGCGAACATTTTAACCACTGGTACTAGTCTATCCCACCCACTGCCTTGTTATCTATACAGTGTGAAGCCCATTTCTGGTGTCCCCCGCTGTGATGTAGCTGGAATATTGCTAAAAGCGGTGTAAAACAGCAACTCAGTCAGTCAGTCAGTCAGTCAGTGTTATCAATACTCACAGTTAATGTACTGTAATCAATCAATGCATTCTCACATTGTTCCTTCCTTGAGTATTTCTTCCTGGTGTGTTATGCAGATTTTGTGTTGGGACGACAAGGCAGTGTACCTGGAGCAGAGTGTCCTGAGACACAAGGACAACTTCGTGTGTGCGGTGTGTGTGCTGAAGATGGTGGTGGCCGGGTCTGGAAGCAACCCACAGAAGATCATCGACGTCATGCAGCCGGGGTTGAAGTCTCCCGAGCCGTTGCCAGAAGTCAGCAAGTGGATTGAGAGTATAGCATTGTCGAGTGAAAGATTACGTAAATCTTTATGATCTTGGAAAAGCTAGGCATTTAAACATGTGCGATTGTATCAACAATACTTTAAATTGTGAAATTAATGCAAAAAGTGCGAGTAGCACTTGGTCATATAAATAAGGAAGATGCGTTGTATACTGATGTCATAAAGTTTATTGTCATGCCAGGTTCACTGTCCATTTGGGTGGAAACAATTATATACACGATCTTATAGTTACTAATACAATCCAGATGCTGCCCGTCCATGTTGTGTAGACATCCAGCTTATTATCAACAGTTTTGAATTCATAACACTAGTACTAGTACATATACTATCCCAAAAAAGAAACGCATAGGCCAGAAATCTGTTGCGAAAATGCTGTATTTTCAAACAGGTATAACTCGTCCACAAATAGACTTTAGTACAAGAATTTTTACATCGGTATAGAAGAAGAAAATGTCTATACAACCATGTGGATCATTTTAGATAACGGAGACGTTGAGCGACATGGTGACGGCGTAGCACGGGCCCGACGTTGGGTCTCCTGGCTCTCAGTCCAATCTCTCTCAACCTTTTCCGAACAGTTTGACCGGATATCCTCCGAAGTCCAGGTACCCTGGCTGCTGTGCTCTCACCCGTGGCAGTATGAACATGCAAATGTAGTACCCGGATGTACCGATCTTGGGCTGCAGTGGAGACTCGAGGGCTCTGCCCGTACGAGGACGGTCATTTGTTATACATGGTATTGGTTGTAACGAGCTGCAAGCCGTGATATCGTGCTCAGACTAACATTCCGGCGCCTGGCAACAGAAGATTGGTAATCTCCAGCTTGAATTCTTTCAATGGCGATGTTGCGTGTCGCAGAGTCAAGACGTAGCATAGTGATTTGACCTTGAAACTCCTTCAAAATGAATGCCAATTTCCGAAAGTAATCTGGATTTTTATTGCCAGACAATGCATGCTCTTCTACACAATTTAAACTGGAAGGTGATTTCGGTTACCTTGTGGCGATAATTTTTTTAATCCTTGAAAGAAATCTCATCAAAATCAACATTTTTTACTTGTGCAATTGTGTAAAATCATGTTATCAACATTTTTGTTACATATTTTGACGATTGTTTGAACACAAAAGGTAAATAATAGATTTTAAAAAATACAAAACGCCTATGCGTTTCCTTTTTTGGATAGTATATTTGGCAAAGGATTGCACCAACTTGTGTAAAAACATCTGCTGCCTTTGTTTTTGACCTGACCAATCTCTTTTTAATGATCCTAATTTTGAATTTCTTGCTTTCTTAAAAGTCACATCTATCAATTAATGTTAAACTAGTGATGGTATTGTTCATTAAAACTGTTGTCAATTAAATGTTCAAAGGTAGGGCTACTCATATTAATATCCCAACGCATTTAGTGACTTTGCATTAATTTCATGATTTACAATACTTCACAGGTTTAATGTGAGAGATTTAAACTAAGTGCTATATATTTTTAATTTTTAATATTTATTATTCGAAATTAGGATTTTTTAAATGTTCAGAGGAATTTCATCATTGAATTATAATTAAGCATGGAATACTCTCCTTCTATATAGGCCTATTATGAGTGAAAACCAAGACCCTTGATGGAGTCTTTGCATTAGTTATAACAATATAAAAATGAAAAATGGAAAATTTGGGGAATATCTTCGGTATTTGCTGCAGAATCCAGACTGAATATTGGTCTCTGAGAAGGTCGGGATCAATTGCTGGTACTATAGTCAATGTCAGCGAAGTATTGAAGTTTTTCTTTATATCAGCTGTATGTGAAGTCCTCATTGTAGCTGCAGATCACACCTCCATGTTTTAAAAATCAATTATACATCTGCCAATGCTTCTTTTTGAAAAACAAGATATTTTGAAATTCCACCCCCTTGAATAACTTTCTTAGGATCAAAGATAACTTTTATGAACTACTTATCCCTTAATGGTGATTGTTTCTACACTGTTGTAATTATTCTAAAACTGTCTCGGAAATCTAACAAATCTGCTTTGGAACATGACAAGGACTAACATTAATGTTGCCACTTTGTTCAGAGCTACTGTACATTCATTTAATTTCCAGTCTGTGTGACCGCCTCCCTGGTGTAGTGGTTAGAGCGTCCGCCCGGAGAGCAGAAGGTCGCGGGTTCGATCCCCGACCGCGTCATACCAAAAGACGTTGAAATATGGTACTTGTTGGTGCCTGCCTGGCGCCCGGCATTTATGGGTACAACAAGGACTGGTCGGCTCGGAGTCAGTATAATGTGTCTGAGTGGGGTATTCATGCTTCACTGCGGAATGGTATCTCAGTGGGCTAGCACTATAAAACCAGCTTAAGTCTGGGCTAGTACAAGCAGCCGCACATACACACACACGCGCATGCACGTCGTCATATGAGCGAAATATTCTCAAGTACGACGTTAAACCCAATTTCATCCAACCCACCTCCAGTCTGTTTTATTTTGTATTGTTAATGGACAATCCATGTTGTTCGGTGATCAGGTAGTCAATTGTTGCCAGGTGTTGCAGCCAATCAGAAAGTGATTGTTGCCGTGATTTGTTTGTTGTTTTAATACAAAACATATCCATGTGTTAATATCAAGTAAATACAATGAATTTCATGTGTATGGATCGGTGTCCAGGGGTCCAGTCTACAAAGCTGTCCTTGAGCTAGGATAATTGTAACAACCTTGGACAATCGTAGCCCTATGGCCGCTTTGTGGAATTGGGCAGAGCATCGTTTATTTGTTTTTAGAGTCAACTAGCAAAATTTGGTGACCAGGGTTGTCTGGTTGCTGCATGTCATCCATTTTCGATTGTAGATTGATGCGCATGACTGACTGACTGACTGAGTTTGGTTTTACGCCGCTTTTAGCAATATTCCAGCAACATCACGGCGGGGACCACCAGAAATGGGCTTCACACATTGTACCCATGTGGGGATTCGAACCCGGGTCTTCGGCGTGATGAGCCAACGCTTTATGCTCCCCCACCACGTTATGCTCATGATGTCAGTCACTGGGTTGTATGGTCTAGACTCGAAAATTACAGACCTCTGCCATGTTGATTGAAAATTAATGGTTGTGACCTTAAACAACAGACACATTGTGAGATTCCTATCAGTGACAGCATTGGTACCTCACAACCGTAACCATGGTAACAGGAGTAGCTCTTGTTGGTACCATTAGTTTGTGTTATTTTGACAGTCGTTGATAAATCATAGCGGTTGCCATACATATCAATACCATGTCAATCTTTCATCAGTTAGTACTGGTAACAATTTTGGAATTGACCATTATAATCCAAGACATTTTTTAGTCGTTTTGGTCTTGCCACTTTTACCAATATCTAGTTCATTTTCATTATGATATTATTTGCATGCCTAAACTCAGGAAGGTATGTCTTACCATCTGTCTGGTACCACTGACCAATCACAAGGTTCCTGTTGTTAATGACATGTGTCAAGGCATCGTGCCATTATTATTATTATTATTATTATCATGCTCATAACAAGGAAATGGAGGTATTGAGTCAGGCTGTGTTTCATCATCAAATGGAGGTATAATACTCTCGGTGATCAAGGTTGAGGATCAAAGATTCGGTGTCCTGTAAGGAGGTCCTATGTCCGAAACCAATCAGTCAGACAGCTTAGAAAAACAAACTATACTACCCATCAAAAGTTTAGACTCACTGAAAGCACTCACTATATGTTATGTATATGTATGTGGTTACATCGAAGATGAATTTCTCCACCAACTTGGGGGAACCAACTGAAAACCTTATGCAGATGAATTGCACAAGGATGATGCTTCAAATTGCGAAAGGCATGAGCAAATGTCGTGCATGTGAACAGATTCGTTTTGGTGTAAAGTTTTGTTAAGAATTCGCCAATTTTCACAGATTTTAATCATTTACTGAACTCATGACAATAATCTTTTCAATGTTACGAATATGTTTTACAATACACCAGTTCATAACTAAACAGTACCTTTAAACAGTATGGAATATTTTGCAAAAAGCTAGTTTAGAACAGTGGACAAGTAAGTGGCTACATTTACACTAGTGAGTCTAAACTTTTGATGGGTAGTATATAAGGCTGATTGTACAGAAAATGGTTTGGTAGAGTAGTTGGTGAAAGAGAAACAGAAAGAATACTTCAGAATTTTATCTAATTCTAAAGAAAATTGCGAATTTAATATAATAAATTTGAAATATAAATTATGTAATATGTATGTTAAATAAAATGTACATTTCATAGTACTTCTCATAACGTGTGTATTCATTTTTAATTATAGAATCATGTGTATGAAATATAAACTGTTAATGTCGTCTTGATAGGTGTGATCATTCATATTTTAAAGTCGACATTATTCTCTGTGCCTGCAAGATCACATTCCATTTTACAAAGAATATCAATACCTCGATCAACATTCTCACACTGAATGACACAGGAACAAGAACAAGAAAGATGATATTTTACAGTATGTTTTGTTAAAGTTTTGTCATGATGATTTTTATGTTTCATGAGGCTTAGATTGGATACCCCATCTTTAAATTTGGAACCGAGTGTTTTAACCTGACATCTATTGTATGTACAGTTAGACTACCTCAGTGTCAAACGAATGTAGGTGTATCTCCTCAAGGAACTCGTTGGATGAATGTTCTGGTGATCTATTTTGCTGCCATATATGTTTTGGCCATTGCCATGCTATGTGTTAAGTTGTTAGTGAACGTGTTTGTGTGTTCAATTAAACGTTTTACAACTCTCAATTGTTTGTTCAAATTTGTTATTTTTTCTTGTGAGAGTCAGATGTAATAGTTATAAGGGCATTTGGAGGGGCATGCTCAAAGTGTCACAATCTGACTAATATTACCCCAGAAAACCCAAGCTGCATGTGAGGCGCTAGAAGGTTAATAGTCACATGACTTATCCCACCGGGTACCCATTTTCTGTTGGGTGAACAGAGGCAATTTTGAACAAACTCACTTGCCTAACGCGAGACCACATTTTTCACGTGTGTTTCATTGTGGGTCAGGACTGAAGTCCAAGAAACTCCCAGGAGTCAAGCTAGTTGCCAAACACGGTCACCCATCCAAGGACTCTCCGCGCCCATTGTTGCTTAACTTCAACTGATTTGTGACCTGAGCTCTATGTACAGGACCACACACCACCACGACTACTTGACCTGGATGTGGGATGCCAGACAGTATATAGAGTGTGTGGTTTCATTATCCCCCGCAATAAAGAAGTTGCGTCCATCCATGCCTCTGTGCGTCTGTCCGTGCGTCCATCACACTTTGTCTGAAGCATATCTCCTAAACTATTGGTGATAACTTAACCAAACTTGGTACACATGTCAACCATGATCCCTAGATGTACCTTTTGGGGGTTAGACCCAGATATGAATTATATTTATTGTTGTTTCCATGGA